CGCTGCTCAGTTGTTTCCTGAACTGCACGATGATTCTGTTGACTGTCCAAAGCGGGATTCCCAAATTCTGCGAAATTTGCCGCTGACTTATTCCACCATCTGCCTGACCAACTATCCTTCTTCTAACAAAATCTGACAATTCGAGATAACCTTGAGTTCTAGGCATGTTGTAGCACAAGATAATTAGTGTGCGGACCATTTTCATTTATATAGTGCTCTGTGAACACAAATTAGTTAGCATAAATCAGTTGAATGACGAAGAATTAGGTGTCTATTTACTTGTGACCACTCGGTGTATGTCTTGTGATCAGTTATCTGTCTATTAGAATTACAGGACCCGACATGGCCAGGTAGTTAGGGCTCTTGACTCGCAATCTGAGGGTCGCGGGTTCGACTTCCCGTCCCACCAAACATGTTCGCCCTTTCAGCCGTAGGGGTGTTATAACTTGACGTTCAATCCCACTATTCGTTGATAAAATCGTAGCGAAAGAGTTGGCGGTGGGTGGTGATGACTAGATACATTTCCTCTAGTCTTTCATTGCTAAATTAAGGACGGCTAGCGCAGATAAAAACAAACCAAACTAGAATTACAGCTAGATACCGGTTGTGTTATGATGCAATAATCATATAGATATTGCGAACCGTGGTGTCTGTCCGAGCGTTCATCTGTCTCCCGTTTGAAAAGCTGCGCACGCAGACAAAACTTAACATTCACTTTTGAAATGACGGTAGAACAGGCATAAATAATGCTGATGCCAAATTTTATTTCGAAAGCAGGATATTCTACACTAAATTGTTAGGAATTAATAACACTATCATTCACAATTCAAAATGTGACATCACTTGAAGAATAAAAATGTAGATTTACCATATGTTATTGTTGAGCGATTCTTAGCATGACTGAAATGCTCAACAATTACTTTTAGCGGTGGGCGGTACAAGTAGTTCAGAGCTTTGGCTCTGAGTGAAACCAAGAGTGCAACACAATTAACTTTTTTAAAGTCCAAGAAATAATTTAAACTGATAGATTAACACAAACTTTTCCTGTCACTGGAGACAGGCACTTTTGCTAGATTAACACAAACGTTTCCTGTCACTGGAGACAGGTACTTTTACTAGATTAACTTAAACTTTTTTCGTCACTGGGGACGGGTACTTTTGCTTGTGATGAAACAGTTTAGATATAAAAGCACTTCTTGTGATCTTTTATCTGTCTGTTAGATGTACAGATAGACATTAGTTGATCCGGTATACTATTATGTTTGGTAAGACGGAAGTATAACTAGACACCAGTTGATCCGGTATACTATTGTGTTTGGTAAGACGGAAGTATAAGCTGCTAATTCGTAGGGGGTGTGGGGTTTAGATGTTGTTCTTTTTTTCAAAAACAAACAAACAAAAACTGGGTTAAAAATGAAAATTTTCTGTTTATTTAATTTTCTCGTTTTCATGGTTTGTGAACTATATATATATTGTTTGTTTGTTATGAATTTCGTGCAAAGCTACACAAGGGTTATCTGCGCTAGCCTTCCCTAATTTTGCAGTGTAAGACTAGAGGAAAGGCAGCTAGTCATTACCACCCACCGCCAACGACTAGTAGGATTGACTGCCACATTATAACGCTCTCACGGCTGAAAGGGTGAGCATGTTTGGTATGACGGGGATTCGAACCCGCGATTGCAAGTCGAGCGCCCTAACCACCTGGCCATGCCCGGCCTATGGAAGCAGAATACTACAAACGTATTTTCGAGAAATGGATTGTTATTAACTCATTAACTATGACGTGACCTGAAAATGCTTAGATATTTTCAAGTTAGATTGATATAGCTCAAGTCAAACAAAATGTTTTGTTATGGATGCCGAAAACTTAAGATAACATTTGAATTTTTTATTCATGGTAAAGCTATCTGTCGACGTTCATAATTTTGAACTACTGACCAAAGGAAGGCAGCCAGTCAATAGCATCATCCACGCTAAGGTATTGATTGCCACTTTTATAACGCACCCACAGCTTAAAGTGCGGGGAAATATTGTGTGACATCACATAGATTCGACCCTAGTTTGCCATCTCCAAAATCCAAAATTCTACTACAGGCACAACCCGAGCCCAGCGTCATTTGATGTTTCTTTCAAATTCTCACTAATGTTAAGGACTCTGGTGGTGGAATTTTACACTAAATTAATTTAAAAAATAAATCTTGGAGATTTAAGTAATCATATCTATGTCTTGTATGAGTAGCATAAATATTACGAAGACATAAACGTTGTACCAGTACGATTGTGAAGAAAAGGTTATAAATACAACTGTGAAGAAACGGTTATTTATATATAACTGTGAAAAAAAAGGTTATAAATACAACAGTGAAAATCGGTTACAAATACAACTGTGAAGAAACGGTTATTTATATATAACTGTGAAAAAAAAGGTTATAAATACAACAGTGAAAATCGGTTACAAATACAACTGTGAAAAAACGGTTATAAATACAACTGTGAAGAAACGGTTATAAATACAACTGAAAAAAACGGTTATAAATACAACTGTGAAGAAACGGTTATAAATACAACTGAAAAAAACGGTTATAAATACAACTGTGAAGAAACGGTTATAAATACAACTGAAAAAAAAAGTTATACTTTCTAATTTTGGTTTGTAAATTTCAAAATAGATTTATCGAAATATTTTTTTCCCTTGAAAAAAAGGCAACAACTCTGGTTTTTAACTTATTATACAGGGGATTGTGAAAAGCCCAAATTTATGTTGAACGTAATTAATTATACTTTCATTGTATTAAAATAATACGTGCTTGTTATTGATAAAATACATAGAGTTCCAGGATAATAGTTACGTAGTAAGCATATGTATGAGCTGGAGATAACCAATAAATTGATGGTTGTAAGATTTACACTCGCTCCTCAGTGGCATAGCAGCATGGCTGTAAATTTACAATACTAGAAACCGGGTTTGGATACCCGTGGTGGGCAGACAACATATAGCCCTTTGTGTAGTTTTGTGCTTAACTACAAACAGGTATTTGTACGAGGCTAACTGCTTATATTTTGTTACTGAACTACTTTTATTATCACAAGAAAGTCCGAAAACAAAGGACCCTCATCTGGGATCTTCCTCAGTTCAACTGAAGTGAAACTCTG